CAGGACACGACATGTGTTCTCTTTGGCCTTGATGATTTTCTATCCCTTAACATTCGATTTTAATTCACAAGTTCTTTTACAGAGTTTGTTCTGATCCAACAGAATGATAAATAATTTCATGAATACTTTCTGCCCTTTTGCAGCTCTGGACTTTTATTCTGGCTATTCTGCCAAGCTATAACCTACCCAAATTTTACTCATGAAAAGGACTTATTTTTTTTCAAACTGCTTACATTTACCTTTTGCCTAAATAATTAATGAAAAAAATACACCAAAACGAATTCCTTCTTGCTCTCCATTTCTGTAGGACACTTTCCCATCACTTCTTCCTCATCACCCGCTTCCTGGAATTGTAGAGGTATTTACCCATCTGACTTATGACCAACGCAACATAGATGGGACATTTACATGAGCAGGTGATTGTAAATATCCACAATCAAATATCCACCATTTCTCTTTTTTGCTATAATTATACAAAAAATCTCTTACTTAAAAGAGCAACATTATACCCATCATTGAAAATTTCCAAATATGCTATTGTCTACCTACGAACACCAGAAATTCTGTGACATTAGTTTATCTTCTTATATAAATATGCATAGAAACAAATATAAGAACTATTTCTATTTTTCTGTATAATAGGAGCAAAAATGCATACATTAAAATAAAAGAAAGTTGAAATTATTTGAAATACCCATGTGAGCTTTGTTGTGCTGGGAAGAAATGAGGATTGCAGTGCCTATCACTTCATTTTGGCTGACATGTTTGTTTACCAACATGCAATTTCAGGCAGAAAAGAGCTTTTTAATAAATCATGTTGTGATTTTCTCATATTTCTCTTTGGCCATTCAGTAATTTCATCCAAAAATACTTGGATGATTTAGGAATAAATGATTAAATGAGAAGCATGTGGATTAAATTCCCCTTGGAATATGCTTTGGTTTCTGAAGAGAATGGAAGAGTTGTGGGAGGATGCTTGCCAGACCCAGGCATGTGCTTGATTTTGGGAACAGTGGACTTTATTTGGAACCGCTGAGGGTGTAGGCCACCTCTCCATACTCTCGTGCCTTGAGTTTGTTTTTTCTTTTTTTCCAAACCATACTTGTTAGTAATTGCTTTACCCACAGCACTGGGCTCTGTGCCACAGACAATTTGCAAGGCTTCCTAACCTCAGAAAACTAATATTTATTACATGTCATTTGCAAAAGGCAGCATCATCCAGAGTTTGAAACTCTTAGAAGGTTTTACTGCATTTAATATTCATAAAGATCCAAAAAGAAATGTAGCATAATATTCTTACTTTGTCCCATAATATTCCCATTTTACATATGAGAAAGTAAGGCAGAAAAAGTTTAAGAATCACTCAAAATAAAAGCTTTAGCAAATATTTCATCAGGAGTTCGATTCCGGGGAGTCTAATTCCAACATTCTTAATTGCAATTACTAAATCTCTTTGCTTCTCAACTTGTAAAACTACAAATAACTGACTCCAGGCCAAGAATTAATAAACTGCCTCCTTTTAATCGCAAGGGTCCACTGTGAGGCCAATGCACTTCCTATTTTTAATAGGTTATGCAAGAAGAAGAAATGAACAAAGTTCAAAGAATTATTAAATGACAGGACCCAGGACTTGAAGTGAGGTATTGTCCACCGACTGCCTCAGGCTATTCTGTGCTCCATGAATGGACCCTGAATTAACTGTGTCAGAACTGGGGTAAAGGACTATGTATGTTCTTCCTAACTACTGAATCTGCATCTCTGAAGTAGGGGGCCTCAGGCTCTTTACTTATAAAAAGTGGTCAGAGGATTCTTGACTCACAAAACTGAAAGACTTAATTTACCTCCAAACACACCTCTTGTGAGAAAGAGACAGCATCCACTAACATAATTTAGAGTTGAAAATGAGATGGAAGATGAAAAGGTACTGAGTGTGGATGGACAATAAAGGAGGCCACATCAAAATGCAAACTGGAAAATCAGAAGATGCTGTCAATGTTTTGCTTTGGGACTCCATCCCAGGGCTGTGTTTGACAGTGGTTCCTAAAGTGTCCTCGGGGCCTGGAGACACAGAAAGGAGAGAAGGCAGGACAGCAGAAAGAACAGCATTCTAGAGTCAATTTCCACCCCTGCCTCTTAATTGTTATTTTCATATTGGGATGCATTATTATTTTTAATTTCTTTATCTGTATACTATTTTCCTTTTTGATTTTGTGTGTATTTAAGAGATGAGCAAACCTAAGACACTGGGAAGCTGACAAATATTTGAGTCTCTTGATTTTGTCTCTTTGTGGCACTTTAAAACCAATCTGGATTTTCCAGGTAGATCCAGTTGCCAATTCTTCCCTGACCTAGGCCTTCATTCAGGTAATTGTTTCAAATTTCCAGTTTCTCAATTGTTTCTTTTCCTTCCACAGAACTGTCTCCTAAAAACACATTTGCCATTTAATCTGTACATTAGTAGTGGGAAGCAATGATTTGATATTATCAGAGAAAGATGAAGGCGTCCACCAAAGGAATGAATATCTAATGAGAAAAATTCAAAGACTACTATAGATCGGTGATAAGGATTAAGGGGGGCAAAATCATGAATATTATTTAAATCCCCATTCTATTACTTTCTCTCCCTAAGTGAAATACCAGTTGAGAAATCTTTCTCTTTTTTTTAATAGAAACATAAATTGCCAATTTGCAAAGGACTTAGCGGTTATTTATAAAACTTCTTAAGAAATGTTTTTCCTTAGAGGGAAGAGTAAATCACTTATACCATGTAGTGAGAGAGGCATATTTAATCACTTGCTAAATCCCATGAGATAGAAAAGTATTTTGCAGATGAACAAACAGGCTCAGAAAGATGAAGATTCTCATCAAAGTCCACTGTGTCACCCAAGGCTCATGCTGGAACTCACATGGTGTATTTCTTCTCTTTTAACTCCCTCTCTAAGCTTTGGCACTTCTGATTCTAGGCAGGCAAAATATTACGGATGACTTCCTCTCTCTATCTCTTTCAATCTCTCTTTTATAGAAACTTTTAATTAGTTCCCAACTCTCTGCCATTATTAAATGGATTTGTTATTAAGTATTAAGAGCCATCCCTGGTTCTTTCCCTTCCCCTTCACCTCTCCTGAAGCTTCCCCAATCCTAGGCTTCTGGTTTTAATTGTTATATTTTTTTCACCAGTGATCTGTGGAGCTTCTCTAATGATCTCAACTCATTTGGAGGGTTTATAGCTGCAGCACAGAGCTCCAGTAAAATGAAAAGGAGAGCTTAGCCGGGAATCCCCTGAGGGCTTGCTCCTGCCCAGAACCAAAGGAGTTTGCTGATCTCTCCTAACCACCCACTCTAAGGCACCTTCTTTTTGTGGAAGGACTCCCCTCTCCTAGCTGGGAAGGGTATCTTCCTCTTCTCCCTTCGTCACATTCCTAGGACATCACCTGAGAATCCTGCACACAGTAAGTAGACATGAGATTACTAATCATCGAAAGAGACAATAAATCAGTACACTAATTATTGAAAGAGACAATGAATAAGTAAATTAAGAAAGGAAGAGGGGAGGACAAAAAAAAAGACTTTGGGCTACTTAACTTTGCCAGGGAATATGCAAAGTTCTTAGATGAGTCAGGTTCTCACTGTCATGGGGATACTGTGTTATGAAAGCAGAGTCAGTGGTTTTTTGGAAAATACTCCCATGGACATATATAGATAGTACTCATAACAGCTAATATTCCTGAGCACTTACTATGCACAAAACTTATACCATATTAATATGGTGATCCAACGAGATATCTCCCAAGGACTAAGCTTTATTTATTATGCACTTAAACCTTTCCATGTGTTTGTCTATTTGTTCAAGAATTTAATTACTATAAAAGCTGTAACATATATGAAAACACTGCTTTTATCATCTTTGGTTTGGGGAAAAACTGAAAACAGGAAGTGAGGTATAGTTCCCCATCCTTACCCAATACCCTGTATTGACACAAGAAAGACCAAAATTCAAGACAAGAAGCAGTTCAGGATGCAGATAAAAAGGACAGTGGAGATTACACATTCTTTCTACCCTCAGGAGTATTATGCACTAGCCATTTCGTGAGTTGTAGACTGCCTGGCTTTGTGTAACCTTGGTTTTATCATCTGGAAAATAAAGAGAAATCCTTTATCAAAGTTTGAATAAAAATGTTTGTTATTTGATATTTTGTCGTTGGAATATGCCATATGTATGCTGCATTAGAATTTCCTTCCTAGGTTCATGAAAGGTATTTTATGACAAAGTGTGTCCCTCAACAAATGTATTTGAGGTTGAATTTTCTTATCTTAATTCTCTACGTTAAGTGTCCACCAGGGAGGAAAACCATGAATATCCTCATATATATTATGAATTAAATGACTCCTCTCAGCTGACTCATAGATGTCCTATCTTATTCTTAGGCAAAAAGATTTTGAAATGGCAATCAAAACAGTGACCTTTATAAAGTTGTAGAATCTTAGGAGGTCTTGGTTGGGAAGGATTGTGATTTACGTTCTTTATCTTGCACACAGAGAGGAAACAGATGCATAGAGGGAGGAGGAATTATCCATGGTTGATGGTTGTATGACTAGAAATGGCAGAACTGGGGATAAAAGCTAGAATCTGGATAAAGCTACACTTTTTCAAAATTAGTACATGTTTGTACTACATAATGAACATATTCAACATGGAGAATATGTGCATGTACATAACACAGATCTTAATTTTTTTTGTCTCACTTCCTTCCCCTCCCTCCAATCTAATCTTTTGTCCTTCCTATTTTACAAAAGCTCTATTTCCATTTTTACTTTCAATTCTTTTTTTCTCTTAAAATCCATTTTCTCTCCTCCCTCCCTTCATCTCTTGTTCCCCTCGATCATGGGCTGTTACATAGAGAAACTACTGGGAAGACCAGCTTGGTGAACTTTCCAATCCAAGAAGACGTGAGTAAGAAAGTTCTAAGGTGTTGTTCTAAGGTCCCCAGCAACATACTTACACCAGGAGCAAAGGTACCAAGACACTCCAGGGATTCCTGATAGCTGGCTGTGATGGAGGCTGATATTCAGGGTCTGATTAACAAAAAGCATCTGAAAATATGAGAAGAAAGGCTAAGGATTCTAATGTCCAATTATCTGCCCAATAATTAAAAGTCTTCAGTCATATGAAATTAATGAATGTACTTTGAGGCCATAATGTCAAGTGAAATAAATCAGAAACACAAGTTTAACTATCACACAATATCTCTTAAATGAGAAAGCCAAGGCATGAAAAATTAAAGAGCAAAATAAAACTTAGATCATAGGAAACAGAAAAATTAATCATTTGCAAAAGGGAAGTTGACTAAGAGATAGAGAGGGGAAGGAGAAAAGGAGGGAAAGGAGATTTTAAAAAAGAACTGAAATGTGTTATGTACACATACCAACTCACAACAAAGAATGTAATCATTATGTACTACAAACACATACTGATAAAAATTAAAATTTAAAAAGTGTAAACTCATTTGTGAAAGTTACTATATTTCTCAGAAAGGAAAAAAGTTAGAGTTCAGAAATTCTACATAAGTTAATTCATTAAGGGGTTATTCATCTACACATCCTATGTGCTTGATATTCGATCGGTTGTCAATGTGTTTTAATATTAGACATGAACCTAAAAACTTAGGAAAACAACATTATAAATTGGTCACCTTACTCCAAAGCAAATATATTTATCGACCTTAGTTTATAATCCCAACAGTAAATTTATTTCCTTCTGTTTTGTTTTATTTTGTAATTGTGAATACAGTCCACAAAATATGGTTTACTAAGAATGGATCAATAATAGGTAGAAAGTTTGAATGATTCTTATAAATATTAGTGATATAGAAATAATAATATATTTCCATAAACTAAACCAAGTATCAGTTGATTTTCTAGATAAATTCTGTCAGATATCTAATAAATTCCAATCTGACAAAATATTTTTCATGGAATAAAAAGAAGGGACTGCACTTCCTAACTCTTAAGTTTGTTCTTGAGTATCAGGCGATCTAACTACTAAAATCGTGCACTAAGAAGAGAAATTAGGAATGTAATAGACAACTCATGAGCATGAAAAACTTCTAAGAGAAATGCTAATTAGCCACAATAAAAAAGAATTTTAATTAATACAACATGATCAATGTGAAATTTTGAGGATGATTAATTTTAATAAATCTATAATTTTATTAAATCATATTAACTGACCCAATAGGCAAAAAAAATCAATAGATGCAGCAAAAGTATTCAATTATTAAATCAGTGAAATTTGGGGTTAAAGCTGCCCTTGAAATTTAATGCCAAGTAGAAAATTACAAATTAACTTTGCATATAAACAACCTTGAGTATTTTCTTGTGTAATAAGTGGCTAAGTTTCAACCAGTCCTATCAGCTGGGCTTCAGCCAATCACAGGCTGCCACCTTTTCAAACCATATCCATATAAGGCAAATGTTTTATCATAACAAGTAATAAACCAATCAGCTGATTTCTGTGTCATTTCCTTTCTCTGCTTATAATTACAGCTTACTCACCCTGCTGGTTAGAGCTCCCAGAATCTCCTAATTTGAGAGTGGCTTGATTTATAAATAATTTTTTGCTTAGAGACATCTGCTAAATTTAATTATCTAGAGGTGTTTTGGTTTTGATTTTGGTATTACAATTTGGCATTGATTTATAATGAAAACTCCCACTAAGAAATGAAGAAAAGACACATTTCTTAACTGGGTGCTATGGTTTGAAGATGTCTTTCAAAAGTTCATAGGTTGGATACTTAGTTCTTAAACTCATATATTAATTGTAATTGGAAATGAGACTCCCATGATAGCATTAGTGGTTTCTGAAGAACAGGAAAAGAGACCCAGGCTGGAACACTTGCTCTGTCTCAGCATGTGATGCTCTCTGTCATATTATAATGGATCACAAAGGCCCTAACCAGGAACTTAGCAGTGGCTGGTGCCATGACCCTAGACTTCCATCCCACAGAAATGGAGTCAAATAAACTCCTACTCTTCATAAAGTACTCAGTCTCAAAGATTTGATTATTACAACAGAAAAGAAACTAATACACTGGCTAAGGACAGCTTTTAAAAATCTATCAGAGAAACATAACAGAACCTATACATATACAGAAACATTCTACACAATAAAGGTGGCAAAATAGTCAAGGGAAAAATAATATAGTTTGTTTAATAAACAGTGCTGCTATGAATATCAGTTTTCCAAATTGAGGAAAAAGTGAAAAGATGCTAATTCCACACTATAAACTAAAATCATTTTCTAGTCATTTGAATATGTGTTAGCTAAACCAATACAGCTTTTCTGAAGAGTTGGATAATATCTTTAAGTCTCCAAAGTAAGAAAAGGGTTTCTAAACATAAAAGGCAAGATAAACTTGACTTATTCAGTATTAGGCAATTCCTTAGCATTTATTTATTGTAAGACTTCATAAAGTGATTGAAAAGAAAAGGCACAAACTCAGAGACACGTTTACAACCACATCAATAGAAAAGTTTTATCATGTGGAATATAAATATCCCTCACAAATTAGTTTTTCAAAAGTCAAACTTGAAATTAAAAGAGGGAGGAAATGGGCAGCGGACATGATTGTGTATTCAAGTGCTAGGAAATGTGGCTGAATTATAATATCTGAAAATGTTAGAATAAGATATTAATATAATACACTGCCTTTCCACTCCCACAATACTTACAAATTTATGACATCTTATAATATCAAATATTAGTAAGAATCCAGTACAAAATAATTCTTATTCAGTATTGGTGAGTGTGGTGGTGAGTCTTTCTGGTTTGGAATATAGTTTTATCTTTTTCACATATATTATATGACACCTATACCCACAATTTTAGAAATTCTACTAAAACTATGAAAATAATTAAGTAGCAAAGTAACAAAAAATTTTAAAGCGTGCTTCCTTGTGCCAGGGAGGGGGATGAAATTTCATTTACAGTAGAACACAAAGAAGGCTTCAAAATGTTGTGGGTTAGAGGTGATAATTTATTGTTTTTCTTATGATACACATGCAAAGGCCACTTTTGAACAGTACCTTATCTGGCAGGAGAAAATACCATAAAGTCAATGTTAATAAATCCACATTGTAATGTCATAAGTCAAGAATAAGTAGTTCAGTAATCCAGAACACACATATTTTACCAGAACTCAAATAGAATAGATGTGATATTTTACTTTATTAAGAAAATAACAATTTATTTGATAAATGGAGCTAGCACAACTGCTGGTCTATGTAGAAGAAAAAAGGAGTTACTTAACTCACATCAAAAATTTTAATTTTATGTAATTAAAAAGTTAAATTTTAAAAAGGTTCATCTTATAGGGAAATGAAAAACATACATACATTTCCTAATTTTAGTGAAAATCTTCTTAATGTTAATTAGTTCAGCGATCAGCTACCATAATTGAATTTGAAGAAAAACAGTTGAGTTAAAAAAAAAGTGTAACATAAATGACAGATGGCTAATATTTATTCAATAAAAATAGTTTGCTTAAACTGAAAAAAACAAGTATCCAGTAGGAAATGCTTAGCAATTACACAGGTGTTTCTCATAAAATCAAGTGACTGGTTAATAAACTCATGAAAAAGATGCACAAACTTGCTGGAAGTTGGAGTAATAAAAGTTAATATAGCAACAAGACATTTCATGTGCACTAGATGCCCACACATCTCCGCGATGCAGGTGGATATAAAAATGGTTATGTCTTTCATCAAAGCAGTATTTTAACAGCTATTAAAGTAAAAAAAATACGCTTAAATTTTGACTTAGCATTCTTGTTGTTGTTTTTGTTTTTTTCCTGGTACAGAGGACTGAACTCAGGTCCTTGTGCTTGCCTGAGTGGAACAGCGCCACTGAGCTACATCCCTGGCCCCTTGACTTAACGTTTTTATCTGGAGCTTTGTGTCACAAAAATAGATTCAAGGTATTGAGATCTATGGTAATAGATGTTTGTTGTCACATTATTAATAATGGCAGAAAGTAATAAAGTGACAAAGAGGTAAAATGATGAAATAAACTGCAGTACATTTATACCAAAGGACTACTTTACAACTATTGCAAATTATGAATTAGAATTGTATTACCTGACAAAATGTAGCCCACAAAATATTATTGATCAGAAAGCTAAGAAGTAGAAAATAAGTGTAATGAGAACAATAACGTATAAATTAAAGCCTCATTCTGGAAACAATAATTGGCAAAATCTTCATCTAATTTTGTGTATGGACATACGGACAGATACCTACTAGTATATGCAGGTGCTTTAGTAGCCATAAAGGTTGGAAAGAACCATCCAGGATGTTAAGTATATTGTTTTATTAGAGAGAATGAGGTAGAAACATTGTAAAAATGCCTGTCTGTCATCCTGCTTACATAAAATAATATTTATCTATGTATATAGAGCTGAAATAATTGCAGAATTAATTAGTACAAATCTATATTGACTAACATACCGTTTGCTGATGTATTCTCAAATGAAAAAGAAATCAATTTTAAGAGTAACATTTGGAGCAGCATTCTGTGAGTGAAAAAATTTCCATAAGTATTTTTAACTGTATATATTTAAAAGAGAAAAGCAAATAAACACATGAGTCAGACTCAATTTTGGGTATCAGCGACGGCAAAGGTAAAGATGGTAGAGGTGAGAAGGAGTTGATTAAACTTGTCTTTATGTATGTTTGCTCTGTCTTGTTTCAGTTTTTACAACTACCATAGGTTTATCTCTCACTGATTGCTTTGTGACAAACTGCTCCCCAAATTAAGCATTTTAAAACAAGAATCATCTCCTCTTCATAGTTTGGTGGGTGTGTTAGTGGTGCTTCTGACTGGGACCATCTCAGTGTGGTGGGGGTGGCTCGGCCAGGGCTGACTCAGTGGGAGCCTCATTCTGTGTCTATGGTGGGTTGGTGTCACTGAGGCGATAGAGCTCAGCTCACCACATGTGGCTCATCCTCTGGCAGGCTAGCCAAGAGACCATCACGATATTCACAGGACTCCCTACAACAGGAAGGCAGACTCTCATATGCAAATACATTGGAATCTC